TCAGCTTTTGTAATCGTTACGGTGGCCAATTTACCATTTCAACTTTGTTGATATATCCAAATTATAGTGTAAAATAAGTTTCCATCGGCGCGAAACTCTAGTAAAAGGCGCTTGCTTTTGAGTTTTGGAAATCATTAAATCATGATTGGGTAGAGGAGGAAAATACGCGACTAAAGCTGAGCCTTTTTTGTCACAATAACAGGCTTAGTTGCAGCTAAGCCTAAAATATACGATATTCTATATGTACCATTTTGAAATACATGTAGCATATTTGTCGAGTTGGACTGTTTCTTCGTCGTTGCGAGTGCGAGAAAAGGCATGTTTCTCTTCGTTATCTCAACTTAAGATTATGGAAGAAAATCTTTTAGGATTAAATTTATACCTGAAAGTAATTTTTTGAGTCAGATTTTTTTCTTTTTTTTTTTTATGCATTCATAAATCGAACCAGAACAACTATAATAATTCTTCCAAAGCTCTCTGGCGTGTTTATCATTGACAGTGATCATAAATAGTTCTCAAACCATTATCGTTCCCTGATCAAATTCTTGTAGCTGCATCATGATATCATCTGATTTGGTTGCGGCATGTCGAAGAAAATCGTTCAATTCGAGAAATCATAAAGCTCTAGAGGCTGACAATCCTTTCTGCTGTAAGGTTTTTACATTCTACAGGCGATTTTATTCTTAAAATATATCTCTTTTCATGAGAAAGAGCACCTTTTGAAATTCAGTGCTATCAAAATGAAATTGGTTGTTACTTGAGATGAAAAGTGAAACTCTATGATAAATTATCATTACCATGGTACTTTTTACATTTCAATATTGATCTCAAGATAGATCACCGCAGTTTTTGAGTGAATTCCAAGGTTTCTGTCGGCATTTTCACCATGCAGTAAATAATTATGTGTTCCTCGCGATTCATCTAAGCTTTAGTGTTTGGATTTTGCATCCTGTTTCCCGCTTCAGAATTTCACATATTTTTCGTGGATACCATGGTGGACCTCAAAGGAACAACAACCTGAATCCAGACATTAGACCGACTTAGCATCGTATTCCATATTTGGCTTTCGTCTTCGGTCGAGTCATCCCATTTGTTAGAGCTGGTACCCAGGCCTAGACGCACGCCGCCGAGGAACTCGTCGCTGGAAGCAAGATCGAAGTCGTAGATGGTGATTTCCAACACTCTCTCCTTCAGATCCTCAGGAGACAGTTCTTCATAATTGAACTTGTGATCAAAGGTGGGGTTCAGGGTTCGTTTTATCACTGGTGTCTTGTGTTTAGTTTTACCTTTCTTGTCTGGTAATAAAAGACTGGCACAAAAAAAAACAGAAACAAAAAAAAAAAAAACATGCAAATATTATGACTCAATTCAAAATTTTAAATAAGTTAAGCTGTATAAGTACAACTTCCCGTTATTACCAGAACTTATGCCGTAACATGAACTCCTGAAAGGACACAACCTTAGTCCCTTTAACTCCCATTGGTAACCAAGACAGAATTTCTCCTTATCATATCAGTGCAACATCAAGCAAACAAGTGATGAGAACAAAGAAAATATCAGTGAGGGGATTATAGGTTGATCCAATAACAAATTCTCCAAAATAACATCATAAGAATTGTACAGCAGAAGGTAAGGAGAATTATGAATGAAATCTTGGGAGTGAAAGTGTTAAGGTGGCTGAACACAGTTTTCGCGCGCGCTTTCTGCTGATGCAATTCAGCGTGCGCACAGGGATTGCAAAAAAAACCAAACGTGCCGTCAATAGAGCGGTTATTTTATTTACTCAACACGTATCCGCGCTATCTGTGCTATTTTTCTCTATAGTTGGCGCAGTGTATTGAGGGCTTTAATATTTTATTACAAAGACGTGTTAGGAAGGTTAACGGTGCAAAGAACCCAGCAATTCTCAGCTTTTTCGTCGTTACCGAAAGAACCCAGTTAAATGCAGCGCATGCGTAATAACTAAAAAATTGCGATTGAATCATGATGGAAAATTGCTTTCTCGGAAATAGGCCTATTTCTTGAGAACCACTCATTAGAAATTCACGAAATTTGGCACGAAAATACTTTAGGAAATAACTAACTGAAGTATTGAAAAAAACTGATTTTTAACAAAGGAAATTCTAGATAATCGAGTGAACCTTCAACAAGGGATAATTAAAGATCTCTCTGTTAAACTGTTAGCAAAATGGTGTTAACTTGTGGGTATCGTTACAAGCTCGTTGCATGCAAATTATAAAGAAAATCTAATGACAAGATTTTCTACAAATAAACAAAACCGATTTTAAAGGCATGTTTATATTTATTCATGACTATTGTTTTGTTTTGTTTTGACGACTTTACCGGGTGTGACTAGACCCGAAAGGGTTAGTGCGAACGGAACACAAGGTCCATGCGAGGCACCACCCCTCCCCCCCAATTCATCCTGGATAGACACTGCACAAAGATAGACCACAACACCGAGCACTACGTCAGCTTAACTATCAAAAAAACAAAGTTTGTGTTGTTAACTTGCTTGCTGCCAGTTTTGGCGACCGAGAGATCGATGGGTTTTAAGAGAAAATGCTGAAAGAAACACAGGTATCAAAAACTGTGTTCAGCCACCTAAACAAGTTTTCCTGCCAAGTTTTTACGCCATTTGTAAACCTGAATGGACAGAGACACTTCGAGAGTAAACCGTCTTTCCTAAAAACGCAACAAAAGAACCCGGTTGGGGCTCGAACCCGGTCCACTGAATTTTAATTATTTTACCTCTCAGTTAGTATGTGCGCTATGATTGATTATAACATAACCAAAGTAAAGCGCGTGCGCTATGATTGATTATAACATAACCAAAGTAAAGCGCGTGCGCTATGATTGATTATAACATAACCAAAGTAAAGCGCGCGCGCTCTGATTGGTCAATTCGTTTGCCCATTAGTGTACGATGCTGTCATGAGCAAATGCAAAGACAAGTTTCTGCGCGCCTGTTTTTTCTGGTCACGTAAGATTTTAGTGTTAAATGAAAGGGAACTCTTTTTCCACACTGTATCGATTGATGTTATGCCATGAAACGAAACAAATGATAAACACCACATGGTGTTTACCATTTGTTAATTAATTAAGTAGGCCGTATTTCACTGTACGGCCTGCTAAATTCAGAAGTCTATTTGAATTCAGTGAAATCTTCTTCCGATACATGCTGAAGATGGGAGGCACGAAGCAGTGCAGTGCCCTAAGCGCAACATGCTGAAATTTTAAGGGAAAGTGGAGATACTGCAGTCTTTATATTTAATGTCGATTTTTAGTCTTGCAACCGACAGGTAAGGGCGCACGCATGCTTCCTATAAAGGACACTATATTTGAAATTCACGGCGAAACTCCTTTTATCTTGTTCTTACCATTTGCAGTACGGGTCAGACATCCCATTAGCATCCATTCCTGGAAGATTCCTGGCCTCCAACAGATGTACATGTAATTCACCTTTAGTTCTTCCTTTCTTTTTCACTTTGTCAGCCGTGACGTATTTCAAAGACAAAACTAGTTCACAAGGAATTGAAGGCAGACCATCCGTCTCGTCGGTCTATTTAAGGAAAAATAAACGCCCATCTTTTCAAATGGCTTTTTGGCTTATCATCTTGAGCTCGAGATATATCTCTGTGAGGTATATCCCCTACGCCACAAGTACATACATGTAAGTCTTGCAGTCGGTCGTGACTGTTCACCAAATTAAGCTTCCCTCACTCTGACTGCACGTAATGTAATCATATCGCAAGCCCCTATTGAATTATCCTCCATCAACACAAAATTGATATAACTTATAGTCTCCACAAGTTCGTTTTAAGATGGTATGATAGTTGCAAGTTGTTGTTCGAGCATACTTTAGCTCGTTGATGTTTTGAGAAAACGAGATTTATAAACGATGGTAACTATATCCTTACCTATATTAGCATATGAAGCTTACGCTCGAGACAGCAGCAGGCTAAAAGTGAGATTGCAAGGAAAGGAGTGGTTCTCTGTTGACCAGACTTGCGAAATCAACTCTTACCTTCTCGGTCAGATTAAACCATTTAGCTACCGGTCGCTCGAGCGAATTTCCAGCTTCAACAAAATGGTTCATTGGAATCTTAATTTCACCCAAGAAACAGTTTCGTCCAATCATTTTATGCCACACGCTCAGATGTAATGTTCGTGTCAGAAGTTCGTCATATCCCATGAAATACTGCGGAGAAAAATGAAAAGCTTGAGCGTAGAAATTAAAAGAGGAAATCTAAAAGTAGTCTTGAAGTGTACATCGCAAGATGAGCGAGTATGATTAGAAAATGTTGGATATTTTAGAAACGATCAAGGGAAAAGAAGGGGACTTAATATATTTGAGGCTTACCCCAGTAAACTCCACTTGCAAAAAGAAACGAAACGCAAATTGACTGTTTTTTTTGCGGCCTTACCTTTTTTAGGTTCGTTTCTTCACAAAGAGTTTCTATTAAAATGAGTTCTTTTTATTTCACGAGGTGAAAGGAATTTGTACAAGAGTATTTTTCCCCGGCGCTAAGTATACCGGTAAATCTCGAATTTGTGTACCACACCCAGATTTTTCTGGCCTGCATGCCAATGAAGATATCTTTAGTGATATGGATTCTGACCCTGATAATGGACTGATAATGACCTTATATATTCACAATAGATAGATGCCCTTATATATTGAAAATAGATATGGATATGGGATTCCGACCCTAAATAATGACCATGTATGTATATTGACAAAAGTGATGATAATGACTAATGGTATTAATGATCACGCGGATGACATTTAAGAATCCTAACAAAATAACGAAAGAATAATGACGTATTGTGCTTGAATTTACCTCTAAAATTTCGTCAAAATGTGGGTTTAAGGTATCTTTTTTCGTTTTGGTTTTGCGCTTGCTCCGTCGGTCCGGAAGGAGATATGTCTTCACATAACTGAAAAAAAAAAGGGACAGCTTATTAGAGTATGTGGTAAGAGGTAAGGAGCTAGACTTGAAATTGTGGTTTTGAGGGTGAAACATCTTTGATTAAAAACCCTATTGAAAATTTCATAATAGTTGCTTTTCATAAATAAGTCTGATTCAAGTAGCAGGCCTAATTCATTAACACATTCTATTTATTTATTTATTTATTTATTTATTCATCATAAGTAGAATCTTAAGCTGAACTCAAGAGAGTTCTTTGTCCTAGTTCTAATTAGAAAAAAAAAATGCATTCTTGTAATAGAATACTATTAGTTTAAGACTTCTTTCAAAGCAAGGGGTCATACTCACGGATCAGATGAAGATCTTTTTGCATCAGCAGAGGAAAGATTGTTAGCGCTGAGGACATGTACTTCAAACCTTTTGGACGGCATCTCATATCGCAGGCTCACAAACAATTCCCCTGTCACGGGTACACTGTTATAATGTTCTTCCCCATGCTCACTCAATAAGCTTTCGGAGCTTCCCTATAAGTAAATGTCAAACAAGGCAAAATAAAAAAAGAGATTATTCCGCGGGTAAGATGTTTTATTTAGAAAATGCACATCATAAAAACAAGCGCCATTTTCTTTTGGTCCTATGTACTTCCTACATGAATTAAAGCAGTTGGGGTTAGCATATAGCCCGGATGTGTACGTGTTTGATATTTGAGCTAATTCGAGTTTTACGTTCAATATGACGAGGTGAATTAAATGAAGCTTTAAGAGAGAGACCAAATGCATTTTTTTCGTGAAAGATAAAAGTTTATAAAAAAAGTTTTTATTTCAATGTGATAAATTTGTCACAAAACTTAAAGTTACCTTAGATGGATCCGCTTTGATGACCTGTAACGATCCAGGCTGATATACAGGCATTTCTGTATCGATGTTTGGCTGGGGAAATTTTTTGTAATAGTCAGTAACGGGTAATTGAAATTAAAGAATCACATGAACTGATGTTGCTTAGAAACGTTGGTCCATTTCAAGTTATTTTACTAATTCTTTTTGACACTATTATCTCGTTCTTCAGTTCTTTAATGATTTGAAATGATCCCGGAAGTTTTAAGAAATATTTCCCGGTTATTCAAGGTATTAGAATCCTAGAAAAGTAAGCTCGTGGATGTTGAGTCAAAAAATTCAATACTTTTTGAATATCATATATCCAACAATCACAAATACAAAAGCTTTCTAAATACAAAGTATCCATTTTCTGTAGGATAAAACAAAAACAACTCCCAGGTTGTTGAGGAATGAGAATATTCTATTAGGGTTCATTAGCCATTTATAATTTAGCATAAAAACCATCGTAACAACGCTCAATTCACATCATTCTTACTGTATAACCAGCTTCTAAAGCCAATTCTGCTAAAGTTTTCCGTCTTTCGTCTTTCTTTTTTCCTTTCTTTGCCTCATCAAGACGTTTCCTTTCCAGACTTGGTGACCATTGGGGTCCCCGACTAGCTCTGATAACGTCTGGATGAGAACCTTTCCTTACGATACTTTGTCCTACAAACAATGTCCAAAAAGAAGTAAATGGTGTTGGCTTTTCCCATCATTAAAGAAACTGCATCATGTGATTGGCACTTCTCAGAAATCTAGCTAAGCTTTCCAATCTGGTAATTTTCGATTCTTGTTAATCTTGTTCATTTCAAGGCACAAATAATCCCTACAGGTAAAACACTTCAATTGTTCTGTTTGTCCTCTCGATTCTCCAGGAAACAGTTGATTCCCTTTATTTTAAGCCTCCTCTTATGTGACTGAAAGCTATGCGTTGACTTATCGCAAAATCTCCTATAAAAGCCCCTGTAACAAGCCCTAAAGTTAAACATGAGAGGGTACAGAAATATAGCCGAAAGAACTGAGCCAATGACAGAGGGATGTACGGATATATCACTCGCCAGCTAAATTTGCTGGATAGGTCGCCATATTTTTTAAGTATGGGGCTCCATTTGCGCTCCTCGCATGCAAGAGCTCCGCTATATATATACATATCTATATGTGTTTGTGTGTGTGTGTGTGTATATATATATATATATCTATAAGGGGCATGCACAATATTTGTTTATCTAGACGTGCCCCTCTCCTCTCCTTTATAAATACAATGTGACTGAATTTAAGTGGTGTAATTTTGTATTGTAAGTTTTCTTTCCTTGAAAGTTCTACTTTTTTACTTACTTTTTCACCTTGTATCTAATTCTATACTATCATCTGCTAACATTTGGAATATATATATATTTCTCTATATATATATATATATATATTCAATTCTCCAAATATTAGCAGATGATAGTATAGAATTAGATACAAGGTGAAAAAGTTAATTTGAAAAAGTTAAGTGAAAAAGTAATACCTGCTCCCACTGAGTCATGCTTCTTCAAATCTTGAGAGGCCAGCTCATCATTAACGGGCCGAGGAGCCGACACTGCAAAATCGCTATGTCGCCTCTTGGTAAGAGCTGCTTCAGGTAATAAGGAATTCTTCTCGAGTAGTTTATTTGTAACATTATGCTCCGTGTGTCTCCTGGGCGACTGGGGAGTTTTCTCTGGTGGAGTATCACTACTATCTCCCGTGGCAACCGAGAATAGTGTCTGAGGCTTATCCACTTTAATTTCGGGTGCATTGGCATCCATGAATTGCAGGGCGAATGCACTGATAGATTCAAGAACAGGCTTCATTTTAGGACCCTGATCATTTTCATCGTGCCTTGTCTCTTCCTCTGCTGAAATGACGTCATTTCCATTCACTTGACCGACAGAAATCCCAGAGTTGTCTCCCTCTTTCTCCAGCTCCTTCGCGTCAGGCCCTGTTTCGCTCTCCATTAATTCCACTGTGGTTTCTAGTGTAGAAGAGGCCGAGTCTGCTGAGGTATCTTTAGGTTCCAAGTGTTTTTCGTCTTCTTCAAAAGCAAGATTTTCTCGCGACAGCACTAAAGGCTCCTGTTCTGGCAGAGTCTGTGTCTTGCTGTCGTTCTGGTCAGTTTCTGGTTTCACTTCTGAATTTGTTTCACTTTTATTGTTGTCGAATAGCTTCGGGAAGCTCCTGTGAATAAAACCATGTAAAAAAGGCTGCAATTGAAACCAGCATGACACATCCTTTCTGTTGCCGAGTTTTAATCTATATTTATTTCTAATTTTCCTTTATAAAAAGTAGTGGAAGCAGAATTAGGAGCCAAAGACATGTTTACTAAAGCCAAGATGGATATCTTGGAGTCTGTGTGTCTCGACGAATCCCTCCTAAAATTACAAGTTTTAGTTTAATCATCCTGTGGTTTCTTTCTTGTTTTCTTATCCAATTATGGTGGTCAGGTTTCAACTCAGTTGCCACGCTAATAATCCATGAAAGCAATTTTGCGTGGCAAAGAATGAATGAATAAATACCACAAGAGAAAAGGTCTCACTGAGGAGATTTGATTTGATAAAAGGTATAAAATTTGCTTATTAATATTCTTTAAAGAATCCTATCAATAAATGAAAACGTGTTGGAATATTCCTGAACGACTGGAAGACGATCGAACATTTGCAATCAGTTCGGCCGAATAAGTCAAGTTCATCAGATCATCTGTTAAGGACATTAGCCAGAAGGCTCATTTTTTTGATTGATTATTGATTAGTTCACTAATTTCAGAATGATCTTAGATAGCCACATAGTTACAATGCTTATGTGTTTTTCTATTGGTTTCGTAATCGAACCTTTCAGCGTCACCACGCGCATATAAAAGGCAAGTTTAGCGTCCCTTTAATCAGTTCTTCGTAAGTTTTGAATAACCTTGGTAAACTTTCGCCCTTTCGTTTACTCAACCTCTGGCACAAGCGGGACCGATATGTGAGTACCTTTGTAACTTTGTTTTTTCCTTTCCAGTCCTTCAGTGTTGGGCGACCATATACAAACAAATATTGCAATGATCTCTATGGATTTAAGATTTAAAGGCCAAATTCGTGCCAATTTGCGAGTCAGTGAACGCCCATCATTTAGATAGAACAATAGGCTGTTTATCAGCCACCAAAATTCTTTTAATTTGTTTCGAAACTTTTGTTCTGTTTTACTTGTATTGTTAATCTCGTTATTGACGTTAGAGCCCAGTATTTGACACGCGATTCTTTGATTGTGTATTCCGCGGCTTTTCATTAGATTGATAGAACTTCGTTGTATTGTTGTTTCAGTTTACGTTCGATCGTTCGATAGATTGATTGACTGTGAGAATAATCGTTATTATCGTCGTTGATTGTGGTTTGTGGTCGATTGCCTTTCAAGAATAAAGATTCGTGCAAACAGTCAACTTTGGTTTGTCATTTCGATCAGTAAAATAGTCGCAAACACCTCGTTAACCGCATTTTGGAGCGACACGCCCTTATAAACTTGAGAATTTAGATTTTTGGTCGCCGCAAAGCTACATCATCAATAAATTGGACTAAGTTACACTGCAAAATAAAAAAAAAAAGAAAACCAAGAAAAAACAAACAAACAAACAAAAGAAACAGTAAAGCAAAAATGAAAACATTAGAACATTCCTTTTCGAGCTTTTTATTATTTTTTGCGCTTTTTCATTTAACCATTTCTTGTACATCGTCTTGTACAAAAGTGTGTCCTTTCCCTGATCCAGTGCGATTTTCAGTTTTGTTATAAGTTGATATATTCGTGATCACAAATCGCATACTTAAAAAAGCTGACCGTTCCAGAAAACGAGAAGATCGTTAAAGAAGGAGAAATCAAAGCACAAAGTTTTGCCCATGCTCTATTTGATGAGTTATTGACTATCGTTTGCAGAAAACAACATGAAGATTAACAAATTCAACGTTAAAAAACTTGTTCCACTAACATATTATTTTACTCTTAAGGCCACAGCCTGTTCTTCTTTAATTTCTACATGTGATATTTATTGTTTTTTACTACATTTATGTCCGTTTACTGCACCACAGAGATCTAGAGATTCGGCTGTGGGTCTAAGATTTTCTAACAGTTTTCTTATGATTTTGACGACACATTTGATTTTTGATCACGTAAATGTTTTGGACGGAAAACGTCGTTACATTTTAAAATGGTCAATTGCCAAATGAATGACTCACAATTGAATATAACTGAAATAAGCTAACCATTTCAAGTCACTTTTTTCCTGAAAATGCTGGCAGAATTGTCTCTGTGAGATGTTAAAAACGCATGCAATTTAATTCTCAGATAGGAAAATGTACACCGTGTACTGTAAAAGAAAGCTCAATTGCTGAAAAAAATTATTTCGCAATCAAGGCTTCATAAATTTTCTCGGAACATTTTGTAAACGCCCAGCAAATATTTAGTCAGGCTTTTTACAAGCAATGAATTTGAATTACCCATGAGTTGTTGCTGTCGTTTCACAATGAATTGGTAAAATATCTTAACTGTAATTCTGTTGAAATGTTTATCAAACAGAGCGTAGTTGTTCCGAGGGCGGATTACCCTATCTAAAGGATAAATCGCTACCCAGCAGACGAGGGCTAACGAAACATAATGCAATGTCGACCGGATAGAGATTTATCTGGAGGAAAGCGTTATGCCAACCTTCCAACAACCCGGCCAGGATGTTAATGTATCTAAGCATTTTCTCCATGTTTATTTAGGTGAGGCACGAGTTTTAATCGTTTTTCACTTGTTGCCACAAACCGTTTTAAGAACTTATTAACTTTACTTCGGTAGAAAATATTACCACAACAATTGCAATTTGATATATCTTATTTTCTTCAAGCATAGTGTTGAAACGCTTTCATTAAAGCGTCGTTTTAAGACATTTGGCGGTTTGTAGTTGCACTTAAACATCTCGCCAGAGTCTAAAGCTTTTTCAAATAAGATTTCCTCGTCGCAGAAGTTTGGAGATTTTCTATAGGCATCCAATCAGTTTTTCGACCCCCATGAATCACACACAAATATAAAGTTAATGTATTCTACCGCTATATAGACACTGGTGCTTTCGTAATTGGCTTCGACTCTAAATCAGATAGCCGGCAAAAATGGCATTTGTTTAGGGTATGATATAAGGACAGGAATTAGAAAATAACGTAAGAAAAAATGTTTCTGGTTTTTTCTTATCTTAAACACTTGATTACCAGTATCAGAAACAAATTCAAATTACAATTTTAAGTAATATTTCGTGGATCTCCTCTCCTATGAAAGCATCGAACAAAATTAACAACTGAAGGTTGGTTTGTTGGCGTTATTAGGAAACTCTTTCTGGAGAATTATGATGATGCATGCTGCTCTGCCGATTAGTGATAGTATTAATCTTTAATTTTGTAGTTCAAAGGTTTAATTACAGCGATAGCTTCGTCTACCAGGTGTATTGAGTCCGAACGGAAGTTTTAACTCTCACGCCAAAAGAAATTGAATTGAGAACGGTCACGCCGAGGAAATTAAACTCGTGATAAAATGTTGATTGGATGAAAAACGACTGGGAATCTAGCTCCAGGAAACGCGAACTTTGAAAATAAAAATTTTTTGTGGTCTGAGGCTCATTCGGAGAATTTTAGAAAAGAAAAGCGCCGCACAGGAAGGGATATCGATGTCGAACGATTGCGCATCTAGAATTACAAAACGCAACTTACGGTAGCAGACGAGCGAAGTGGTCCATATTGCGGTATATTTCCGGCCACCAGCTTCAAACAAGCTTCCACTTTCAAATGGTAAAGCAGATTTGAACAAGCCAGCAAAATACTGTGCAAAACGGGAGCCAGAGAAGTAAAATGAGCTGCTCAACGAACAGCAAGCGGATCAGCGTAATGCTCGCATATAGCGACCGGCGACCTCATGAATAAATAAGTACGCAGGAACAAAAACAAAAAAACAAACGTCGAAATTTGAATGTCTCATCGTACCAATCAAATTTGAATATGCCTGCAATTTCTGACGAGGACTTGCGTTGTTTAGAAACAAATTATTTTGCATGCTTTCTTGAAACTTGGCATGAATCAGTTTGTCCCGAGGGAATATCAGCTTGAAAAAACAATGAAATTGCTCCTTTGTGAGTGTTAGAGTGAAGAAGAAAAAGAAAATGAGATACTCTTTAAAATTGTTAATTTAAATCAATTTTAGAAGCTCCAACGCGAAAATAGTAGTAGATATTGATGTTCTAAAACAGATGAATAACTGTCAACAGCTGGAAGCTGATCAACGCTTTAAGAATCCCAGTTCGAATGGATCATTGCCAATAGCGTTTATTTACAGTCAAGTTATAATTTACTTCCTGTGCTCCCAGCAATGGCTGTCATCATAAACTTTGTATTTCAACGGATTTTTCACCTTATTAATAAGCCTCTTTTAATTGTTATGTTAATTATTTAAGGACGGACGAATACATTATGTACGGTAAGTTTTTTTTTTTCTTAACTAAATTTGAAAGATAAATCGCAAGAAAGCTGAGATGACAAGCAAATAATTTCGAAGGTTGACACTAGCATTAAGGGCATATTAGAAAGTATAAAACGCAAAAATGATAGGAGTTTTAGTTATTTCGAAGAAAGGTGTTCGTCACATTAATAATTGAAAATATGATGGAATATTCAATACAAATTGTTCACGATAGGCAATATTATTGACACCAATTGTGAAGTTCGTTTCTTTCATGGCCGAGGATAAACTGTAGTTGAATTGACTAGTGTTGGATCTTGACTTTTGAAATAACATCACCAACGTGAAATAATATGTCTATTGTTTAGAGAACGATTATGCTACCAAACCAACCTTTTCAATAACAGAACTTTACCTTTTATTCAGACAAGAGAGCGACTACATAATTAATACATATAGTTTGACTATTCATGAGGTTTAAATGACCTTACTATTAAATTCATATCAGGGTCTGGTACGCAGTAAAACTTGATTGCGAGAACATAAGATCAACTGTTTCCTGAGTTATTAACAAGGAACAAGATTCTGTCATGTTACAATGTATTTTGTTTAGGAAATTCTTTCTTGTTAACGATAAATTTTTCCTAAAGTTCCGTCTTGCCGACGTAAAAGTACTTGTCAATAAAACACCTAACGTGTCTCCGCTGGGGTTTTTTTGTAGGAAAGTGTTCATTATCACCGCTTGAGGGCTTACATTTTTTTTTATATTTAAAAGATGCATTGTCAGTTCTACGCTTTTTCTCTTGACTAGAAGTCATGACTCAAATACTTGCAACATAAAGTCTGACACTTAAGCCGGCAAAGAAGGGCAAACGAATTAAAAGAATAACTGTCTCAACACTCCCAAGCAAACAGTGAATAGCCCGTTGGAGTCGTTCGTCTATGAAGCTTTTAAACTATTGACTCAATAGCCAAAATGACTACCTCTGAACACTTCTAGAAGCCTCTTCTGAAAACATTATGTATTCAAGTTTTTTTTAACACAGTCACCTCTGGTGGAATATGTCTTCCTGTAAGAGCTTCCTCTAATTCTCAGTTTTCCTGTTTCTTACCGGTTTAATGAGAAGCGAAGACCCTGGATACAAGATTCTCCGAAGTGGCCGTAGCTCTAATATATAAAGCATTCAAAGGATTCTGAACACGTATAGGACATCACTACGGTCTTTCCACAAAAACCCTTGCGCAAAGCCTCAATACCCTTATGACACAGCTGGTTTATCGTTAAAAGTAATATATCTCTTTCGAAAATTTGCTTCGGATGTTGCCAATTATAATAAGTCCCTGAGTAAGTGGGGTGGAATTTGTTAAGGAAAAGTGTCCCAAGTCGATTGAGTGAAAAAAAAGGAAATAATTTCCTCTCATAAAAAGTAATGCTCTATTTCCAACCAATACTGTTTACCCCTCAAAAGTTGATTTCCAGATTTCTCGTGACTATTCCTTCCAAATCTTTGGTAAGCTGCTGAGGAAGAACCTGAGATTGATTTCAAACCATTTCGTGTCAAGTGAAATCATCCAAAAAAAAAATGTGTTACAGGTGATATCCGAGGCGGACTGAGTACGATTGTTCTTTCAGTGGTTGTGTTTTTCAGATACATTGAACATGAAACAAGAAATAGTTGAGGACAACTTACATTTACGGTAAATCAGTTTCGTCGGATAATAAGTGCAAATTTTTGGAAAACGTACCGTAAACAGCAACAGTGGTCAAATTGAAACTGAACAGTCACGCATATATGTAGTGCTCATCGAGTTTTAAAAGTTTAAGGATAACTGTGCTTGTGTTATCAAGTCTTATCGTAGATTTATGATAATCATCAATATGACTGTTATTATGGTTATCGTTCTATTATCAGCATTGGATTTTTTTTATAATTTTCAGCATTTCCTTTTTTCGCCACTTTGGGTCTATGATTTGCACAATTAGCTAAGAGTATGGTTTTTTTTTAGTTTTACTTGCGAATTAAAACGGTAGAGAATGAAGCAAAAATAATCAGTATTTTATATTGTCAAGAGCCACCCTCGAAAAATAAAGTTGATTATTATTTTTATTATAAACAGTTGCGTATGATGCACGATCTTCGCAGTAGAGAGCGCTATTTATGCAATAACGAAAATCAGACCTGAAAAAAATCAGGCCTGTACGGAATTCGAACCACTGGCCTCTACTGCGAGGATCGTGCATCATACGTATCCCGCAGTTCAAAATAGATGAACTTCATATAATTATTCATGGTGTCTGATTTATCATCACGGGTTTTATTACGAATCAACTTAACGACCTGCTTCCAGTTGGCTCGTTAGCTCAATTGGTAGAGCGCTGCACTAGTATCGCAGAGGTCAGTGATTCGAATCTCGTACAGGCCTGATTTTTTTCAGGTCTGATTTTCGCTATTGCATAAATAGCGCTCTCTACTGCGAGGATCGTGCATCATACGTATCGAATACCGCAGTTCAAAATATATGAACTTCATACATTCATTGTATAAACAGTTGCCTTCGAGTATGTTCAATATCTGAGTGTGCTTTCTATACACCATGTTCAGCGCACCATAGTCATGAATTCCATAGTGCATAGTTGTTTCCCGTACAATAAAATTACTCTGAGGTAGTGTTTTAACGAAACAGAAATCAACTATGGATTTCAAACACGTTTCCTCTTCATGCATTGACGATAATAAATGGTTTTGACAATAACAATAGGTCAGTAACGTTACTCATTTATCTCTTTCGTTACATGTCGCTATATTTCCTTCTGGATTACAAACCTACTTTCCGTAATCATACATACGATTCTGTTTAACCCTAACACTACACGTTGCAATGTAAATAGTCTTGTTCAATGCAGGACCGGGATTCGTTTTTTTTTTTCAAATAAGATTTATCACGGTTGACTGTTATTAACTTTGTCCCGTCTTGTTTAAAGATTTTGCTCTTAAACATTATGGAGGTTTTCTTCGCTCAATTCATTCCCTTGTGTATGACACCACGTTCTATCTTTTCATTTGGTAGTACGGAACTGGGGTACATGTCATTGTTTTAGTAGATTAACAATGGTGGATTACATTGAGTATTCCACACATCTCATATTTATGTAAACAAAAACTAATTCTGATATCTTGTGGGGATTGTTCAAGGGGAAATTTTAATTTAAGATGTATCTTGTTATTTAAGGTTTTAGGCATAGGTCTTGAAGTTTTTGTTTGCAAATGTTATGAGGGCGTTATTTTGCTTGATTGATTACCCTGTTAATAACATGACATACTCTCGCTACATTTGGTACAAGGAAATGGTTACATGTTATGGTATTTGGGGTTCAAGATGACGAAGTACAGAATTCAATTGAAGTGTTTGTGGCGTAAATAAACACTATTTTTTCACATTTTATGAAGATTGATCAAGGGGCACGGTTAATTTCCTTCTTGTTAAAGGTTTTTGATTTGGTTTTTTTAGGTTTTCTTTCCCAAATGTTATGAAGGGACGAAGAGGACATAATCTTTACATTTGGTGCAAAGGAATATTGTCACTGGGTTAATATGGATGAATTGCAGCATTCCATACATGTTATTCATAACCTAAGTAAAAATTAATTTTCAAGTTGTAATGGGATTTATCAAGGGGCATGTTTATAACTTCAATTGTGCTGCAATGCATAAAGTTCTTGATATTATGATTGTGTTGACTTCTATCTTCAACTTTTATAGACAATAGAGGTTTCGCACAGCAGCCATGTTGGATGGCAGGAACAATTATAGATTATTTTACCCATGGGAAAAGATTTTCTTTCTTATGCAAAATATTTTCATTGTTCCTGCCATCCAACATGGCTTCTGTGCAAAACCTCTATACCATTTTTAACAGTTACATGAACAACATGGATGAGGGGCTATTTAGAAAACTGACTTAGGTGGGATGTAATAACCAGTTAACCTTATCATTTGAGTATTGTTCAGCAAAAAACTAATATCATGTTTACTTCCTATATGGAAAATATGCTTATAAAGTTAACAGCGCATCTAAAGTTAAATAGGGACCTGGATTCATTTTGCAACTTACTTCATTTTAGGATACATTGTTGTTAATTTTGGCAATGGGTCTGAGGATTAAATACCTATACAAACTGGTGCGATCTCAGTAATATCAAATTTATCTCATTTCCTTCAAAAGTTTAAACGTCCCCGATTGAACAATAGCAATAAATCACGTTCAACTCATGTTTACATATACCATGTGTTTAAAGCTGGCTGTTCATGAAACACTTTAAATCCAAGATAAACTTTCAAATTTATATTCCTATAGCGTCGACTTAGTAAGAAAGAGTTTGCCTTTTTTAAAATGTTCGCTTTTAGATGGATCTTGGACTGTAACATTGACTATTAACATTTGCTGTTTTAAGGTTAGCAGGAACTGTTAATCAGACTTCAGTCACTGTGAGACTAGGAGAGAAAAAAACCTAAGCAGTAGAAAGAAAGTATTAGATAAGAGGGTAGTACACAGCCTAACAAGACAAAGATAAATTATTTCGTTACTCCCACCGACGCAGCCCCAAACAGTTTCTTTCGAAACTATCAGCCTTAATTCAAAGATAAAGTACTTCTGGGTTTTGATGACACCATCATCAACATTGGTAACAAGTGCTGAAATAAATCCTTTAGAAAAGTAAAGGACGTTGCTTATAGAGCAGTACCCTCGAGCTCAGAAACAATCTTCCTTAGCCTTTACTATTTTGATCCTGAAGAACATAGCATTTACTTTGCCCAGCTATACGCACTAAAACATTGTTCTGGCAAATTTGATGTATGACCTTGAGATAAACAGGAAAAACTGACCACAATCAACCCTTGTGATTACATGGATTTTAATACCAAAAATAACGAATGAAGTTAGTTCGAAACAGCACTGACTTAAAACAGTATGCTATAGAAGCTAAGTTATGCGAGCAACACAATTCGGTCATTGTTATAACAAGAGTTGAACAGCGCTTTCTCGCGCATCAACGTCCGTTTTTATGGGCCAAGTTGAAGAAAGCTAGCTTATTTAGGAGTCCGTTACAGGAGGGATTGCAGAAAGAGTGGCATTATGTTTAATACTTACCAATTTGCATGCGATGCAATATTGGCGGGTGATACGTTGGGGTAACTGACAGTACTCGCATAACGTGCATCTTACGTGTTCTCGGTGGCAAACATATCATAAGTGACTTTGAATAACAAATGTTAAGTTGAAGCTGAAAAAAGGGCTTGCTTAACCTGAAAAAATTGTGCCATGATCTGCAACAAAAAATTCAAAGCACACTTTGCATTGAAACCGAATTCGTTCGACGAAAAATCCTTAAAAAATATGCAACGACAACGACGTCTCCAAATAAAGGTACAATGTTTTTCAAAAATATGTTCTATTTGCACTAACCGTTTATAAAAATACCAACCTGTCAAAACGTTGGGCCTTTCAAAATTGTTAAATAATTTTTCGTTCCATAACTCTTGTGAGTGACATAACTGACATAACTCGTATGAGAAATACTATAAATTGATTCTTATTTCAAGTGCCAGGGCGTCTGCTTCCACGGCCGAAATTTTGTATTTTGAATTTCATCGTTGCAATAGAGGAAATCCTTTTTTCATCTAAATGAAAGAGATATTTTGAAATACTTTACGTTCACGAAGATAGTATGTGCAGCAATTCCATTTTTTTTTTTTTCCCTTTGGACTATATGCATTCCTAAGGAAGTATTAGTTCATTTTTACCGACTTAATTCCAAGTGTCCAGCGCATGCGTGCTTAATCTACTTGACTATCCATGCTTGATCGCAGGTTCAGGGTGTATTCGTGCCAACTATTGGGTCGTTCAAGCATTATCTGCCATGCCTCTCGTTCCAGTCCTTGCGAGTCGTCCCAAGACTCTATTTTACTTCCAAGGCCCAATCTCAAACCTCCGAGGAAATCATTACTGGAACCTCGGTCATAGTCCCACACGGTCAGCTCTAAGACGCGGTTCCTCAGCTCGTCGAGCGTCAGGTTTTCATAACAGAAGGCGTGGTTCCACACAGGATTGAGGTTCTTTTTGACCACCTGAGTTTTGTGCTTGGTCTTTCTGCTTTGGTCTGGTAAGAGGTAACTGATGGCAATGGCAAGTTAAGCGTACGTGAAACAACTTAAACATCGATGTCAACCTGTTACACTTAGAAAAGTGTAACATTCAAAACCAGGTATTGTCAGTCTACGTTACGAAAACATCATCTTCATGATGTGACAAGTTAATATGTTGT